GCCCTCCGCACCCCCCCTCCCCCGGAGACGCAGGGGAGGGGGTCCCGACCCGGCCTGGGTGCGGGGTGCCCGTGTGACACCGCTTGCCGCCTGTGGAGCGGAGCGGCCCCGCAGACGCTCCCTGCCTCCTCCGCTCCGCGCTGCGCGGCTCAGGCGCCGCATTCCCTTCGCCGGGGCGGCATCGAGGGACGGTGTCAAACCGGTCTCCTCTCCTGCCCGGCTCCCCCCCGCTTCCCGGGGTTACCGGCCATTCTGCGGCAGGAGGAATTATTTCGAAATAAGAAAGCAACGTGTTGCAAACGCTCCCCAGCCCGTTTTCTGACGCCTTTTGTTATGCAGGCTCTGGCTGCCGGGGAAGATGCTGCAGCCGGTGCACCTGCGGAAAAACGCCTTCACCGTGTTAACAGCGAGCTGGAGGGTATAAAGCAATAAAACTGCCAAATGTACCTGTTCCTATCGAGTGCATTACCTACCCCTAAGAATAAAGAGTCCCAGTAGGAATTCTTTCCCTTCTCTTCCCCTTTCTTCTATATTTTTATTCATTGTAGGTTTGTAAACGCCTGGATCGGGTTACCCTTTCGCGTGTTAAAGTGGAACTCTTGTTAAAGGCAGGAGAACAAGGCAAGACACTTACAACCGCATTCAGAGTTACTGAACCGACTCCAAGGGCTCAAGAAGCGAAACAACGATGAGAGGGTGGGTACGGGGGCAGAAAACATCCCAGCCGCCTAGGAAAAAAGACACCCACCTCCCCCATACCCCTCTGAAATAAGCCAGCTGAACTACAAGCGTCGAGAGACTACGGGCTATGCCCTGACACCGATCGGGCATCGCTTCGCAACCTCCTCCCTCCCCCGCCATGGACGGCGCAGTGGGCAAGCAGGGGGCTCGCACCCCCCGGCTGCCCAGAGCTGTGGCGAAGCAAAACCCAGAAATAAATGAAGCAAGGGAAAGGGAAAACAAAAAGAACAAAAAAACAAAAAACAAAAAAAAACAAAAAATAAAAGCTCTCTGAGTATTTCCAAAAGCGAC